AAAATGGAGTACTGCTCAGCCATAAAGAATGAGAAACTAGAGACATTTATAGCTAAATGGATGCACATTGAGGCCATCCTCTTAAGTGAAATAAACAGAACACGCATGTGTAAATACTGAATAGCTTCTCTGGTATGAGAAACAAAGTGTAAATAAGGACTAAAAGGTATAATAGATAATGTGAAATAAGAAGAAAAGGTCCAAAGGGGAAGGGGAAGTAGGGAGCGGAGGTAGGGGAAAGGAAAGAAGGGAAAGAAAAAAATATGAGAAAAGAAAGAAAAAAATGGAAACAAAGTTTTTATAAAATAGGGAAGGGTGGAGGGGTGAAAAAGAGGGCAGGGGAAGGGGGAAAAATCAAGAACCAAGATACGTCACGTGCAGGTAAAAATTCCCAATGATGAATGTAATCATAATGCAGACCTAAAATGTGCCAATAAACTTAACAAAAAAATTAAATTAAAAAAGAAAAAAAAAGAAATGCCACACTGTACCTTATAAATGTGTGCAGTTATTACATATTAATCAAAATTGCTTTAATAGTTTATAGGGATAAAAACGCTAACTATTCTGATTTGTTACACCCTGATACATATCACAAGTTACCACCTTGAATGGCTTAATTTTTTTAAATTAAAATAGTAATAAAAGTTTTTTAAAACAAAAAGAAAAAAGAAAAGGATTGCAAGGGATTGAGATTGTAAAAAGAGTATGTAATAGAGACAGTATGTGCTCCTGAAAGCCTAAAGTTTTTACTAACTTTTTAAAATTTGTTTTTTTTTTATTTTTTTGCCAACTCCTGCCTTAAAACAGTTCAGTCTTTAAGCTCCTCCAAATACACATGTCATTCTATAAGAAGATATATTGATTGTGGGTAAATAATATTTTTTAAGTGGGGCATATATTGGTACAGTTCTAGCAAAGTTGATTAGGTAAGATGCTTTTCTATTTGTTTTCTATGCTGGATACTCAGCTAATAGGTCAATTTGCTAATGTCTGGAGTTGAAAATATATGAGCAAAACGTGGGCTTAGTGATCAGCTTCAAAGAGCTATGTGAATGTAAAAGTAGATTTTGATCTTCATGAGTGCATTATAGCAGCCACAATTCAGATCATTTGGAAAGTATTAATATGTATTCTTTACTTTTTCAGATTACATAAAGGCCAAAGAAAACATGCATTAAATGATAATGTGTTGGTCATGGCAATTGCTAAAAGTATATTATTCATTGATTTATTCCACATTTATACTTATTTTCAAAATTGTTAAAATATATACTTTTATGTTAATATATGAGATATTCCAGCTGTTGGATAAATATTGAAATATTTTTTAAATGGAGAATTATTATAATTAATGAGTGTCAGAAAATTGAGGCAGTTCTGTCTTCTTTCTCATGCACTATCATTCTTCCTTCAGTCCTAGATCTATTCTATCAACATAAAAATAAACTTGCCTTCTCTTGCCATCTTAAAAATTGTTTCTATTTCTCCATCTAGCTTCTGCTCTTTCTCTGTTTATACTGATCTCTTTGAAATAGTTATCTTTGCTTTCTGAATTCAGTTTCTGTAAACTGTCACTCCAGTAAAACTACTCTTGTTAGTGATTCTCATGGTACTAAATCAGATAGTTCTTATTCCTCTTATTTGACCTCACAGCAGCATGATACTTTGATTTTTTTTTTAGATACTTTCTCCTGATTTTTTCTTCTCCTTTCTTTCTCTTGCTTTTTCAATTTATTTTCACGTTTCCTCCTTGCCTCTTCTGCTCATAAATTGGCGAAAATGCTCAAACATTTGAAATTTGTAGTATTTGTAAACTCACATTCATTCCCTTAGTGTCTTTTTAGTCAGTTTTGTGTTCCTATAATAAAATAAGCTGAGGCTGGTAAGTTATAAGAAAAGAGAGAGTCTTGAGAGACTCATTCATTCCCATGAAACCTACTCCAGTCTCAAGAAACCTAACCAAGTCTGGGGAAAAACATGAATCTGTTGATAAGGGCAGTCTCTAGGCACTCTCAGAGACCTCACCTTCTAACACTGAGTCAGTGAGGAATTAAGCTTCAACTTGAGTTTTAGCAGGAACAGGTCACACTCAGAACACAGTTGGTGATGTCATCAAGAACCAGGGCTGTAAATGGCCATCCCTTGGCAGGTGAGAAGTCCTTAGGTGGTCTTAGACTGTGATGCAGTAACCATCCCACCACTACCCCTGCCAAACCTGTTCCTGAAATTTCTCCATCTTAATAGCAACTGCAGTCCTATAATCGTCTGTAATATCCTGGCTGCTAGCTTTTTTTTCATTCCAGGTCTGATAATTCTTCACACCTCAGTTAACAAAAATTCTCTTTACATCTACACTGAAAGATATCTAAAATCCAATCACTGCTCACCATCACTACTCCTATAACCCTGATCCAAATCACCTTCATGTCCCTCCAGAATATCTGCCCTTGACTTACCTCAGTCCATTCTTAATAGTCACGAGTACTTAACAATGGGATATATTCTGAGAAAAGTGTCATTAGGGGATTTCATCATTGTGTATGCATCATAAAATGTACTTACACAAACTAAGGTAGCTAGGACAGCACTAGGCAACATAACTCTCTGGAATCACCTTATATGTAGTCCATTGTTGACCATAATGTTGTGGAGTACATATTGCAGGTAGACTAATTATGTCTTTAAAAAATAAGCCATATTGTGTCACTTCTTGAATGAAAACCCTCCATTGACTTCTCATCTAAAAAATATCCTACCAGGTTCTATACTCAGCCTTTTATTCCTGGATTTCAGCATGTCCCGCACTCATGTTGCAATAGCCATACTGGCTTCTTTGCTGTCTTTGAACATGCTGGGCAAGTTTTCATCTTCGAGGCTTTGGGTCAGATGTTCCCTCTACACATAACACTCTTTCCCTTATGTCTGCATGGCTCATTATCTCATCTCAAGATTTTTACCCAAATGTCAACTCAGTGAGCTTTTCTTCAGCTTCTCAATCTAAAATTGCAAATTGCCTCCACTCCTTCCTGCTTTGTTTCTTTTCTTGTGAGACCCATTATCTACCATTCCATATAGTAGTTTACTTACTTTTCCTCTTTAGTTTCTGTCTCCTCCTACCACTTACACATAAAAACAAGGATTTTGTTCATTTTGTTTACTGTCTGTCTTAAACTTATAGGAAGATAGCACTTGACTTGCGCAGTGGTCTTAATGAATATTAACTGAATGAAACAGTTCAGGAAGTAGCCCACATGGAAAATTTTAAAATATTTGGGGGATTTTGAGTACCCCTATATCACTTAATAAGCACTCAAAATATTTTGGTAAATGACATGCAAAGAGCTGAAGACATTAGAAATGTGACTGTATACACTGATATAACAAATGCAGAACTTGATGCTTTTCTCTGAATTCTTGATTTTGGCCATTCACTTATTCAGTTGGATTAAATATTGAATACCAAAAAAAAACTTGTAATATTATGTAATTTTGTTTATTTTTTAAATTTTATTTTAATACATAGTGATTGCATTCAGAATGTGTATGTGTGTATATATATATATGTTAAAGATATATATCAATTTTACTCCCCTTGCCTTGCTACCCTTCCCATCTTTATGACACCTACTTCCTTGTTGTTTAACATATCTTTTATTTTGCTCTTTAAGTTATATATATTTTGGATCTCTTGTATTAGAGAAACCATGTGATATTTAGCTTTCTGTGACTGACTTCTCTCAGTATTATCACAAGAGGCATCCATTTTCTTACAAATGGCTCAAATTCATCCTTCTTTATGGTTGAAAGGTATGCCATTGTGTTATATAAGTATTAATTTTCTTAATCCATTTATCTTTTGATGGGCATATGGGCTAGGTCCATGATTTAGCAATTATGATGGTGCTGTAACCATGGGTATTTATGTATCACTTTAGCTCTTTTAGGAAGATACCCAAGAGAAGTATACCTGGATCAAATAGAATTTCTACTTTTAGTTTCCTGAGGACTCTCCATCCTGATTTCCATAATTACTGTACTAGTTTACATTCCCACCAACAGTGTAGAAGGGTTGCTTTTTCTCCACAATCTCTATTCTTCTCGGGTAGGGTAGAATGTTAGGGTTTTTTTGATTTGCATTTTTCTAATGGTAAAAGATGATAAACATTTTTCATGTATTTATTGGCCACTTCTGAGACGTGTATGTTCATTTCATTTGCCCATTTTTATGGGTCTTTTATTTTGGGAGGTCTAATTTTTTTGAGTTTTTTATATTTTCTAGGTATTAATCTTCTGTCAGAGTAGCTGGCAAAAGTTTTTCTCATTCTTTAAGTTGTCTCTTTGCCCTTTTGGTTGTTTCTTTTGCTGTGCAGAAGCTTTTTAATTTGATATAATCCCATTTGTTAATTCTTTTTTTTTTCTTAAATTCTTTTATTGGTACATTTTAGGTATATGGCACAATTACATTTCTCATTGGGAACCTGTACCTTTACATGATGCATCTTGGTTCTTATTTTTTCCCCATTCCTAGCCCTCCCTTCACCCCCTCCACCCATCGCTATTTACAAAGACTTTATTTCCATTTTTTCCATTTCTCATCATTTCTCCTTTCCCTTCTTTCCTTTCCCCTGTCCCTCCCACTATCCCGACCCCTTTGGACCTTTTCTTCCTATTTTGCATTATCGATTATTCATTCTAATCA